CTTCTTATAGAGAATTCACTTAGTGGCTCTATTCACCGAAATTATGATCTCCTCCTCCACCACTGTCTCCACATATTCGACGAGGTTCAACTACTCGTCCATCACTACCTCATCACACTCCGTGGCGTCCGAATCGAATAACTCACTCGAATCATAAACCATCCTCATCACACTATCTCATCGCACTCCCTCTCTACGCCGTCACATGCAACGACGCCGAAAAGAATGGGAGTTAGAGAGGGGTGGGCATGTGGGGGTGAGTGAAATAAAGGGAAGAAAATGAAATTGGTTGGGATGAATGGCGAATGGGGATGGATATGTAGATTATGTTTATTTTATTATTATTATTTTTTTTTTGGGAAGGAGGGCGACACCTTCGAGATTTTATTAAAATATCCTCACTTGTGGCGGAGGAATACAGTGGTTACAGTTGAAATGAAACAAAGCAGTAAATGGGGAAGTACTACTTCCCTTACAGTAGAAATAAAGTAAACCAGTAAAAAATGAAGCACTACTACCCTTACAATAGAACATCATAACAACTACGGAAAACGAAAACAAGGCAAGTTACAATTATCCAAGCGGATGCAACCAATAGTATAAACAGGGAAACTGGAGATTGATTCTAAGAAGTCTGAATTACCTTGAGCTCCAAGTCGCGCTAAAGAATCTGTCGCCTGGTTAGCTTCTCGATAAATATGCGATATATCAATAGACATAACCTAAGCAAGCTCCAAAATATCCTTCCAAATAAGACGAATAGACCAAGGTGTGTGAACTTGATGATGGAACAAATGAACCACCACATTAGAGTCTGTTTCTATAGCAATCTTATCTATGCCAAGGACATAGCATATTTGAAGGCCTATTCTCAAAGCTGATGCCTCTGCTAAAGTGTTGGTTCCAACCCCAAGAAAATGATAGAAACCAAAAATAACCTTCCCTTTCCAATCCCGAAGCAATCCACCACAACCAGCTGGGCCTGGATTTCCAGCACTAGCACCATCAATGTTAAGTTTATAGCAACCATGTTGAGGAGGGTACCATTTAAATGGCAAATGGAACTTGGACAAGCTTTTTTCTTTGGGTGGTTCGGCTTTAGTGGAGGATATTCAACGTTCACAAGTCCAATTCCGTAGAGGTACTGATGATTTAATTTGGTCCCCTTGCAACAATGGTTTAATCTCTACAAGCTCTGCTTGGTCTCTTATAAAAACTACTAGAACTTTTACTCTTCCGTATAGGGTCATTTGGAACCATACCATGCCACCAAAAATTTCTATTTTTTGTTGGCGCCTTTGGCATAATGTGGTTCCAGTGGATGATGTAGTTAGACGTTGTGGGGTTCCTATTGTTTCCAAATGTCAATGCTGTTTACAAGGGCATGAAGAAACGATTGACCATATTTTCGCAACCAGTTCTATTGCTCTTCAAGCATGGAAATATTTTGGAAAATTATTTGGGGTTCACGTGACTACTAATATTTCATGGCGATCTAAAATGAGTTCGAGTTAAATGGGTCTCAATAGACTTGTATTGAAAATTTTAATTGGATGACCAAATTAAACCTAGCAAGAGAAAAGAAAGAAGAAAAGAAAGAAAAGAAGGGAGAAACATAGCAGAGAAGAAAAAAAGAGAAAAAGAAAGAAAAAAAGAAAGAAAAAAGTCAAAAGCAGCAGAAAAACGTCAAAAGAGAGAAAGAAAAGAGGAGAGAGAAAAGAAGAAAAAAAAGAGAAAAATGAAAGGAGACGGACACCGAAGATTTCACGTTTTGTCAATTTTTGGTGATACCTTTCTACTTTTTGCGTGTTTTTATTTTTACAATATGAGTAACTAATTTTTATATTAAAAAAAACAATATAGTCGACTTGTAATCCTTTGTTTTTTTATTCAAGATTTCTGTGATTTATTTATTTATGTGTTGGTTTTAATATGAATTTAATGCATTAAATTATCCGATCAATAATTTGATGATTATATGAGTCTCTTACGAATCAAAAGTTGAGTTTGTGATTTAGACCATATAATAAAATTCGGTAAATTAGTATAACGTGTAGAGATACAAATACTAATTATTGCGATCATAATATGAATTCATAAAACTAATGTTTCGTTTAACTAAGATTGATTCACATAAAAATATGGAAATGAATTAGTTAAATAGGCTCAATGAGAACTCGATGTGGGTAAATTGAATACAATAGAAGAATTCGATCAAATACTACATTATGTTATGAATCTTGAATTATGAATTAATGTGATCAATAGATGAAATTTTTATATCCTAATATTCATCACATATTTGAATCTTCAATTATCCGTTGTCTGCAATCTTTTTATATTTTCAATTAGTTAAAAGTTGTTAGGAAAAATAATCACAACCATCATAATTATTTGCTTTTAGCAAATAGGAGTTAGAAAAATTAGATTAAGTCCTAAAATATAGTTTTCGAGGGAACGATATCCAGACTCAAAGGTCCACTATACTGCTTGTTACGATATCGTACACTTGATATATAAAAAACGCAACAAGTTTTTGGCGCTATTATCAGGAACTGTTTACTTATAGTCTTAGTTAATTTTATTTTTAATTATTATTTGATTTTATTCGATTTTGCTTTCTTTTATTAAAATAAAGAGTTCGTTGTATGCTCCGTATCCAAGACGACGATTTTAAACTGTTTGACTCGAAAATAAAACGCACTTTCAGATGAAGATGTAACGAACGCAAACAAAAACAGCAATATCAAATGACTGACTATCAAAATATTCCTATTTGGCTATTTGGACAAGTGGCCGCAAGAGTAGCGACCACCCGATCAACAACATGAGTGAGGGGAAATAAACGAAGGAGACTTGCCAGTTTCAATGTTCTTGAGGCCCATTGCCGCGCCTGCACACTCCAGTATTGTGTATCCAGATTTTGGGGTAAATAATTTTCAGATAAGAGTATAGTAGATCAATTTGATGAGCAACACTCTCCAATTCTACGGGTTACCTCATGAAAATCAGAATACACATATCTCCATATTTCTCAGAAATTGTCAGAACTTTCATTCACCAAAGCTAATGAAGACGCTATTAAGTTGCGATTATTTCCATATACACTGAGAGATGTTGCATTGGAGTGCGTAGATGCTGAACCTCGTGGAACTAGTACTATATGGGAAGAACTGATTGGAAAATTTTGCAACAAATTCTTTCCACCGGTGAAAGTAGCTAAAATCAGATTGGAAATTCAAACTTTCAAACAGAAGATGGAGAGAACTGTCACGAGGCATGGAATAGATTCAAAGAGGTGATGAGTAAGTGTCCAAATTATGGAATCACAATAGGTAATCAAGTACAATACTTCTAAACCGGACTCTCACTATTGTCAAAATCTCAGGTGGATTCCCCTGCTGATGGATCGATCATAGGAAAATCAGTACAACAAACTTTGGATTTATTTGAGTTAATTGTCACTACACATTCAATGTTTTCATTAAAAACAGTGGTACCACCGAAAGTATTTGGGATGTATGAATTAGATAGCATAACATCTATCAATGTGCGGATTGTAGCTTTGTCAAAGCAGGTAGAGCTATTACTGAAATCACAAACGATAGGAGTACATGTAGTGATGGGTGGTCCATCATGTGAAAACTGTGGAACTAACCATTTGACAGAAAACTGTGGAACTAACCATTTGACAGGAACAAGTCAACTTCATTCAGAATGGTTCATGTAATTTTAACCCATATTTACAAAAATATAGCCCACGATGGAGACAGCACTCGAACTTAAAATGGTAAGATAATTGGCAAGGAAATGGTTCAAATAATGCCCAGAAGGAGAACAAACCAAGTTTAGGGGAAATATTTCATCAATATGTGCAGAAAGCAAACAAGGTAGTTCAACAAATTGATACTAATTTTCAAAATGAACAAGTATCTATCAAGAAGTTGAAGACACGGATTGGTCAGATAACTCAATAACTTGCAGAACATCCACAGGGATCATTGCCAAGCAATACAATGACAAATCTTAAAGAGCAAGTAATGACAATAAGAGTAGTGGAAAACGATCCACCCAGGATTCCTGTAAAGGTTAAAGAATATGTACCTCAACTTCCATTCTCCCAAATACTTCGAAAGAAGTCGATGGAAGAAAATATTAATTCTATGACTACAAGGAGCGTAGTACAATTATCAGAGATTACTGTAAAACGACCAGAAAGAAAAGATGATCAGGAAAATGTTGATGAAGCTATAGGTGTCAAACTCGAAAAAAGCAAGCATAACAAAAATGTTTTGGTGATTTGTAGTTGGGTAATTTTCTTAAAAGTTTTTCAGGAGTAAGCCGGTTTAGCATAGGGGTATAGTATACTAATAAGAAAGGTTTATGTTCGTAATGTTACAAACAAATATATAAAAGACATTATATGCTTGTGCTAATAATGTGAGGGTAATCTCTACTTTATGTTTGTGATTTCTTTCAACTCTTTTGTTTTGAGCGATAGTGTATTGACATGAGTATTTAAGTTCTATCCAACTTTATTTAGCAAAATTTGAAAGATTTTTATGCTCTCCCCCATATCTGATTTTAAGCACTTGATTTTTCTTTCAAATTTGTTCTCAACATGGTTTTTAAAATGAGAGAAGATTGGTAATGTTACTTGGTACTTGAAATAATTATTGTCCACATGCATTGATGTCACGTCAATCACAAAAAGGTCACATTATTCGCACATGTCCTATAACGAATATTTTCATCTTTACCT